TTTAGAATGTTCTACACCACCTTTATCTTGAAATCTTGGTCAATTCCCAAATATCTCGCATGAACCTAATAACTTGTTTCTGCCCAGGCTACTCCTATCCTGTCCCTGTCACAGGCCTCTCTCAGCAGCCAGGCACCTGCACACTAACTTGCCCAAGCCCCTGTCCTCTGCCTGCCCCACCATCTTTGTTACTCCCAGAGAACCTAGAAGAAAAGGTTTGAAATGTTCCCAACATAAAGAATTGAAAAATGTTTGAGGCAATGAATATTCTAAATACACTGATTTAGTCATTATACATTGTATGCATGAATCAAACTACCACATGCACCCTGTAAATATGTACAAATATAACATATCCATTTTTAAATGTTTTAAAGATTATACATAGTGGACTTCCCTAACCAAGAGACCGAGTGGGTCTCAACATAGTTTTCTAAAATTCTGGGTCTGGTTTAATAGAGGAGACTTCAGCCCTTTCTTTTCAGGTTCTGCAAAAGTCAGACAAAGCAGATGACACTTAGGGAAGATATATCAGATGCAAAATACTCCAGAGCCCCTAAACTTGAGTAACCTTTTCCTGATAACATCGAGGAAAGGGAGTAGCCTTACAATGGCAGGCGGAGTATGTGTCCAGACCAAGAGCATTCTCTTTGTGTGTTTACTTTAAATTTGTATCAGTTAGAATGATTTTGACTGCAAGTGACAGACAATCCAACCCACAGTTATTTGCATAACCCAGCAAATGTACTAGGAGGTATACACCCAAGAGACACAAAAAAATATGACTATGCAAAGACTTGTACATGAATATTTATAGCGGCATCATTTATGATAATCAAAAGGTGGAAACAACCCAAAAGTCCATCAATTCATGAATAAACAAAATATAGTATATCCATGCAATGGAATATTATTCGGGAAATATTATGAAAGGGACTTAAGTGCTGACACATGCAACAATATGGATGAACCTTGAAAACATTATGATACGTGAAAGAAGTCAGTTACAAAAAACTACTTTATCGAATAACTCCATTTATATGACATGTCTACAATAGGCAACTTCACAGAGACCAAAATTAGTGGGATCAGTGCTGGTGCAAATAAGACTGAAGGGGGTTAAAAACAAAAGATGCTCCTAGTGTCTCTACTTCTTAATTCTTCTAGAATTCTAGAGAAAGCTCATGAGAAAAATGAAAAGGATGCTGAATAAAGAGATCAAAGGATGTACATACCCTCGAGACACTTGCTCACTTTCCCTTAGCCTCAGTTTCCTCATGTGCCCATGTAGGTTATAATTTAGATGGTTACAAGACTTTAGAGAGGAAATATGCACAAAGAAAAATACTTCAGAAAGACAAGAAGTGCTGGGCTCAGTGGCTCAGCCTGTAATCCCAGCACTTTGGGAGGCTGAGGTGAGTGGATTGCCTGAGCCTGAGGGTTCGAGACCCGCCTGGGCAACTTGGCGAGACCTCATCTCTACAATAAATCAAAAATTAGCTGGGCGTGGTAGCACGCGCCTGTAGTTCCAGCTACTTGGAAGGCTGAGGCGGAAGGATAGCCGAAGCCCAGCAGGTCGAGGCTGCGGTGACCAGGAGCGGCCACTGCACTCCGGTCTGGGCAACAGAGTGAGACTCCAACTAAAATAAAAAAATTTTTTAAAAAAGACAAGAAGTTACTTAATATATGTGGACAAGGGCAAATTGTTCATTATCTATGATACTCAGAGAAAATTCAGGAGTGACTTTAAATTCTCCATTTTAAATATCTCCTCTACATTCTCTCCTTTCCCCTAAGATGTCCCTGAATAAAAGCTTCCCTCTTAACTGCCAGTAAAAAAGTAGTAAGCTAGATTTCATCAGATTTGACTCTTTTTTGCCCCAATTAGAGGTAGAGCTCAGTACAATTAGAATAATAAGCAAATTTTAATTTGTTTGTCTTCCCAGAGTATTTGGGATTCTGACACAGCATGTTATAAAAGTATGGGAAAATGTGGGGTGACTGTTCTAGAAACTTCCATTGGTTAGACTTGTTACTATGGTGAGGACAATCTCAGAGCCTCTTAGGATGAGGGTGTCTATCCTATGACTTTTGGAGGCTTGTCCTACCAAGATTTCCATATGTTATCAGGTGTCAAGGGCTACAGTCTGAATTAGGCTGACAAAGTTGCGTGTTTTCACTTTTCTCCAACCTTTGACGGCCCAGGGACTCCTAGCATCACCTTCTGTCCAATATTTGGCTATTTCCCCTTCTCCTTTTGTCCTTCCTTAGGTCCCCTTTAATTACATGAAATGCATTGCTTCAGATCCTTCTAATATTGTGTTCACAAATGCATGGCATTATCTCCTTCCCACATCAATTTGCATTTAGTTAAAAGCCAAATTTCCTTAATTTTAATATTGTTTTTAACTTGTGATCTGGAAAGAAGGGCTAGGAGATAAAAACAAATTTGGAAACCATTTATGCCTCACTTTTACCTTTTTCTGAGAGTGTGGAATTTTTGTTTTATTTTTTATTTTATTTTAAAGATGTGGGGTACAATTCAGGATTAGGCATACAGGAGGGCATTGTACAGTAAAGTCTGGGCCTCCTTTTGGTCCCCACTTTGCCTGGTTTGAGATCAGATACACTTATTTATGTTGTGTCCCCTCCTCCACCCACCCCGGCAGTATTCTGCTACTGCCTTGTTTTTAAATTTAAGCCAAGACTTTTCATAGACGTTTATAAAAGTATTTCTTTGTCTACTCCATTATGCTGACATTGAAGAAGAGGTGCAGGTTATGATTAAATTGCTGTGCTCCCCAGTAGGACTTTATGACTTTGTAGGGTGACCTCAGCCAGTTGCAGCAGCTGTTCCTTTACTAAGACTGAAAGTTTAGTGAGAACAGTGGATGAGGTGCATCAGGTGTTTGTACGCTAAAAGCAAGTGGGAGAAGCCTTTGCTTCACCATGTCCCTTCATCTTCTTACATCAAGTCCCCAGAAACCACAGTGCTGGATGCAGGGTTCTGCTGAGGCTGAGTAGAAAGAGCACACAGCACTGGATCTCCACGGGCCTGACTCCAACTGCCCCTTGCAACATTTACTCCTTGTGAGCACTTGAGAATGTCCTTGCCTTTCATTGTTCACTGATCTATTTTCAATATCCTATTTGATAATAAAACTCTTTAAACATACAAAAATTATGGAGAATGATATAGGAAATATGCATGTATGCACCACCTACACTTAATAAATGTTCTGTTATTTCTAACCATGACCCATTTGAAGTATTTTCTTGTCTTTAAATGTCTCTTCCCTGCCAATCCATGTGACTCTTCATTGTATGAAGACTCGAGTGGCTTCTGTGGCTGGAATCTCACGGTGTGTCACACCGTAATAGAGCTAGGAGCTAATCTGTTGCATATCCTACAACCAGGATTACAGATTATATAATGTCAGTATTTGGATTATATAATATTAGCATTAAAGTCTGGATTCCTGGATGTGGCTCCAGCTGCAGAACTAGGCTTGTGAGATTTAACCAGCTGTTTTCCTGACATACAGGTTGATGGATGATCAAAAGCCTGTCTTAACTATCACGGATCCCGACATAATCAAAACAGTGCTAATGAAATCATGTTACAAACCAGAGTATAGGCACCCACTTTTATTTTGAAATAAATATGCATTCACAGAAAGTTGCCTGAAAAATTGTACAATGTGGTGCCATCTACCCTTCATTCTGTGTCCTCCACTGGTGACATCTTGTATAACTATAAATACAGTATATTCTTTTCACTCTATTAACAGATAATTGACATTGACAAAACCCACAAAGCATATCAGATTTCCTCAGTTTTATGTGCCCTCTATTGTGTGTGTGGATGTGTATGTGTGTGTAGCTCTATGCAAATATATCACATGTGGGTTTGTGTAATGATCAGTACAACTAAAATACAGAACTGTTCTATCACCATGAGGCTCCCTACTGCTAGTCTCCTATAGGTCTGATGTGTAGCTTATCTCATCCTCTTAACAGGGTCTACATCAGAGCTTTTTTTTTTTTAATTCTGGGAGGCCAATTTATCAATTTTCCCTTTTATGCATTGAACTTTTGGTGTCGTTTGAAAAGTATTCCCCTAGCACTCTTGGTTGTTGTTTTCTAAAATCACAGTTTAATGCTTTCCATTTAAACCTATGATCCATTTTGTGTTCATTTTTGCATAAGCTATGAGGTTGAGGTAAAGGTTTGTTTTTGTTGTGACTTATGGCTGTCCAATTATTCCAACACTATCTTTCGAGTATCCTTCCTCTGTTGAATTCTTTTTGCAGCATGGTCAACCATGAGTTGGGCCCATTCGTGGGCATCTATTTCTCATTCTCTGTTCTGTTCCATTGATCCTTGTGTCTATTCCTCCACCAACATCATACCGTCTTGACTAAAATAGCTGTGTAGTAAGTCTTAACATTGCTGGGAGTGATTCCTCCTATTTGTTTTGATATTTTGTGTGTTTTGTTTTGTTTTTTCAGGATTTTTAAAGTTAGTCTTGATCTTTTTGCCTTTCCATTGATATCTATAAACAAACTTGCTGAGATGTTGAAAAGAATTAAAACTATAGATCAATTTGGGGGAAAATTTGTATCTATACTGTGCTGAGTCTTTCAATCCATGAACACACTGTGCCTCCTCATTTCTTTTTTTTTTTTCCAAATTAAAAAATGTATTTACAAACTTTATTTTCCTTTTAAAAAAAACAATTAGTCAATTCATGAAGATAAACCAAAACACAAACTCTATCAAAGTGTGTTGCCATAAACTTTCATAGAATCAATAGCCTTTAAAAAAAAAAAAGGTAGTGAATATTTTAATGTAAAAACACAATGTAAACATAGGGACTTTAGTTTTGGTGACTAAACACAAGCAGATAAATAATCTTCTTCAAAGGGAAAAACACTCTGGGAACCCAGTCTGACATTGCATGGCAGGAAACTTAGCGCATTGGTGAGTTAGTTTCTCAGGGCCAGCAAGGCGTTCACATCTCAGATCAGGTTCCGTAGCTGATCCACGATTTGCTTCAGCTGCTGAGTCTTCTGTTTGAGTTTTTTATGGACTTCAGCAAATTCCCGCATCTCTTCACAAGCAAAACGTGGCGGGCCAGCCCGGTCGCCATTCTTGGAGCCATCTTCTTCCACATATGGGATAAGTTGCTCTACTGGGATGGGGTCCATGCCTCCACAGTTCTCATTGCATTTGTCGTAGACCAGCCGCAACTCCCCGGAGAGAACGGACAGCTGGCGAAGGCGATCCTGCAGCTTTGTGAGCCGGTCTTGGTAGGTCCCCGTGTGGTAGGTGACACCATTTGGCAACTGCGTATTCCTGAGCGGCTGGAAGATCTCCAGGGTGCGGTACACGATGTCCTGCACCGTCTCCTGCCCGATGCGGCACGGCGACGCCGTGTTCACCTCGCGCGCGGCCTGCTGTGCCTGCGGCCCGGCGAACGGCCCGGGCGCCCTCCCGGCCGCCAAAGGGGGCGTAGACATGGCGCGGCCTCGAACCTTCGGGTGGGAGATAGGGTCCAGGCTTCGACCGCAACTGGGCGGCTGCAGGCCTCCGCGCCGGCGGCAGCACTAGCGCCCCAGCGGCCAGATTTCAAAACAGCCCCTCTTCGTTTCTTTAGGATTTTTTTTTTTTTTTTTTTTAATTCCTTCTCTCAACATTTTGTAGTTTTCCACATAGAGATTCTGTGCAGGTTTTGTTAGATTGATCCCTAAAGCATTTCATTTTCGTTAAAATGATTGTAAATGGTACTGCGTTTTTATTGTTTCCAGATATTAACTTCTGTTTTAAGGAAATAAGGTTGAAGGTTTTTCTTTTTCATTTATTTTTTCTAATAATTTTTTAATTTCGATTTTATTTGTATACATTCGTGGGATACAAGGGGAATTTTGCTACATTGACATATTGCTTTGCAGTTAAGTCAGGACCTTCACAGCTTCCATCACTGAAGCAACACACATTGTTCCCACCAAGCAACTGCATGCATCCACCTGCCTTGATTTTTGTGTGTTGATCTTATGTCCTACAACTTTGCTGAACTACTTATTAGTTCTAGAGGTGTTTTTGTATATTGCTTGAGATCTTCTATTGACAATTATGTCACCTGAAAATACAGACTTTGATTTTTTTTTCCTTTCCAATCTGTATGCTTTTTACATCTTTCTCTTATCTATTACACTAGGACTTCCAGTATGTTGTTGAATAAGAATGAACATTTTTTAACTGTTCCTGATCTTGGGGGGCGGAATTCAGTCTTTCACCATTAAGTGTAATTTATTTGGAGGGTTTTTTGTAGATTCTCTTTATCAAATTCAGTAACTTTCCCTCTCTTCCTAGTTTGCTGAGTTTTATCATAAACAGGTGCTGGAAGTATCTACTTTAAAACAAAACATAGTTTTAGAAGATGGAAGTTTTAATAATGTTGGATTCACAGGCCAGTTCCAAGTTGTGAAATAAAATTCTTTCTTTTCTTTTCTCTGCCTGGGGAAAAAAATTAAGAGAAAGAGGCTTTCGGGTAATTATATTAAAAATAAATTCCTAATCTTTTAAGCATTGCCTGCTTTCTAAAATCACTATATCAGGGTAATCTCTTTTCAAGATGTTCATGATGTAGGTGTTTGTAAAGACAGAGCTGGTCTGAGGCAACATACAGTCTGCCAAGGCCACCTGCCTATCTGTCACAAATCTCTTTCTACTCTGCAGAGCCCTGGACGAGGTGTTAGTACTTGTTCCCATACATTCCACTGGAAAAACAGGTTTCTACCACATGGAATATTTTCACTTACAAGGATACTGAAATGTTGAGACTAGAAACCACACTAGGTGGCTGGATGCCCCCCGCCTCCCACACACTCAGAGGAGGTTAGGCATCTGGGAGAAGTCTTTGTTGAGCATCTAGCATTTTTGCCTATCATTTAGTAGAGAGTGACAATTAAATTTTGACCTTTTTATCTCTACCTTGCCAAATTTCTAACTAAGAGGCCTGGAGAGACAGGCTTCTTTATTAACTAACGTGATTTACTTTCTAACCTGGCTCTGGCATATTGTGGCTGAAAAGAAAGAACATACATGCTTGATCTCCATAGGCACAACTCCATCTACCATGTTTCTTGCTTTGAACTCTGTCCTTTGGGTCCAGTGGGAATTATGAAAAGTGCCGTCTCTGTATCTGTGGATGAAGAGTGCAAGAGAATATGATCACTGCCGTCTCTAGCTTTCACCAGTGGAAAAGTGAAGGAGGTAGGAAAAATAGAAACTTAAAGAATGAATGTGGAGACAGACAGTGAGAACATAGTCCCCTTTCAAGGTGTAGTCCACTGAGTTTGCGTTCCCTAAAAATGGTCTCTTATCCTTGTATCTAAAAGACATTACAAAATTCATTATGAAATGTCACTTATGACTTCATGCTTGGGAAAGTCATGTCCTTCTGTAACTTCTGAGTCTGCAAATTTAATGGCAAATGGTGTTGCATTTTGTGCTTTGATTCTCTCATCATTGCCCAGTATGGAGATGTGTTGGAGAGGAACCAGAGGTGAGCAGCAGAGAAGGACAAGCCAGTCTCCTTGAAAGAGTACATAGAAGCACAGCTGTAGAGTTCTGAGCTGTCACGAGACCCTCCAGCTGCCTGCCTCTGAGCTCAGTGACTGGACAAAAATCAAAGCTGTAGTGTTGCAACTCCAATGGGCCACCCAAGAGTGGTGACTTTCACAGTCAGGCAGAGCAGTTGGGGGGGGAAAGCGTCTTCTATCCTGTGCAGAGAAGCCAAAATGTATTTACCTGATAAAGTTCCCTTGAATATTCTGAAAGACAAAAGATATAGTTCAGGAAAAAAACAGTCATGATCAAACTAAAGTTTTGAGTCTAGAAGATACGGAATGTTGGGAGGGGAAGGCCTGTTGTTACCTGTTGGCTGGCAACGAGCATGGCAGGAAAGTTACAATGCAGAGCTTTAAACTTCAGTCCCTTCATAAGATTGCTGAGGATTCCTCCAAAATCGAAAATATTAAATCTTCCCACTACTCCTTCTTCCCCCAATCTAAAAAGAGAGATGACCTTAGAAAGACTATAGGTAGGACACCCTTATGGTTTACTGTGTAAACCAGGGGTGTCCAACCTTTGGCTTCCCTTGGCCACATGAAGTAAAAAGGAATTGTCTTGGGCCAAACAGAAATTATATAGTATGGATGTCCAACCTTTTGTATTCCCTTGGCCAAATGAAGAGGAATTGTCTTGGGCCAAACAGAAATTATATAGTATGTGTGTGTGTTTTTCTTAAAACTTGTTTTAAAAAAACAAGTTATATATACACACATACACTATATAATATATATATAAGATTATTAAATTTTTGTATTTTTTATTATAAAGTTTAGAAAAATGAGAACAATATAAAACTAGTGAGAAATTTGATCTACCAACGTCTGGTCCGATAGAAGTGATTGCAATTCTTAGTGAGTTCTCAAGGTGCCTGTCAGAAATGTTTGTTTAAATTTTGCTCTTCGTGTGCTTCATAACTGAAAACAGCTACTCACAAATGTACACGCTGCCAGAAAATGGCGCCATGAATTACGTGTGACTGTGAACTTCAAAAACGGAACTATGCAAGGGGTTATGCAGAAATAAATGCTAAAAAACACACTAAAAGATTCTGTGGGGCTGCATTACTAGTTGTCCTGGGCTATATGTGACCCACAGGCCGAGGGTTAGATTGGCCTAGTCTAAACTGAGATACGTTATTTGAATCATACAGGAACAAGTATACATGAAACCTGTCCTAGGCAAACTGGCTGCTTAGCTATGGGATTTACTAAATTAACTTTGGAGTGATGTGTTATTTTTAACTAGGAAAAATTTGGCTTTGCACTTTGCAAAAATAATCTGCAACCTCAGATCACAGGAATGGGGGGAAGTGGGTCTTTCTGGAGCTTTAGCAAGGAGTGTAGAGAATAAGAGATGATATTGCTGGCGAATCAGAATGGGTTGTGATTGTTCTGTAATACACTGAAAAGGAATCAGCTCTGGGCATAAACTCAGTGGTGAGGCAATGTCACTTTTCTTGAGTTCCCTAGGACAAGTTAATTATTCTACTTTTGTCCTGTTGAAGCAGTCTTACACATCTTTTACCATCCACACTCAACACAACCCACTGTAATTTGTCTGATTATGGGTCTCTGTCTCTTTAAGACTGAGCTCAGAAGTGCGTCTAACTTCTTAGTGTCCCGAACACATTCAGCACAGGGCCACATACTGGCATCCAATAACTACCTCAGAAGTGAGTGTGGTGGGAGGTGATCTAGCAGGTAGTTCTGAAAATGAGTGGTTCTTCGCCTGTCTTGCTCAGGCATATGGATTTACATGTGCTTCTTGCTGCATGTGTAGCAGAAGGTTGGAAGTACTAATTTTAATTTTCCATGCTTTGCTCTACTCAGTGTCTCTGGGGCCTGCAGCCTGGATGTGCTCACCAGCATATCATCTGAAGTAAAAATGAATTCCATCAACAACTCTCAGGATCCCTTTATAAAAAATGTCCAAAAGCTCTTGAATATAATTTCTTTAATCCACTTTTTCTCTGAATAGGTATGTGGACTATGTATTTTTTTATTTTTAAAAAAACAAGTTTTATTGAGCTATAATTCACATGCCATATATTCACCTATTAAAATGTACAATTAAATGGTTTTTAGTACATTACAGGATATGTGAAACCATCACCATTGTGAACTTCATAACATTCTTGTCTACTCAAAAACTCTATACTTTTAAACAACTATCCCCTTCCTACCCCACTCAGTCATAAGCAACCACTAATTTACTTTCTGCCTCTCTAATTTTGCTTATCCTGGACATGTCATATATATGGAATCATATATGGTCTTTTGTGACTGGCTTCTTTCATTTAGCATATGTTCAAGATTCATCCATGTTGAAGCATGGATCAATACTTCATTTCTTATTATCACCAAATAACATTCCATTGAATAGATGTACTGCATTTTGTGTATCCTTTTATAGTGGCATATTCCTTTCCCTCACAACTAATAAGTGATCTGTAGGGAGATGTTTTAGGACCATGAAATTATCTTCATTTTGGCTATTACCACCCTTACACTATTATGAATTCAGTTGTTGTGAATAACTGCTTACAAGTTTATGCGTGAATTCTTGTTCTCAATTCTTTTGGGTATATATTCAGAAGTAGGATTGCTGGGTTATATAGTAGTATTTCTATGTTTCATTTGTTAAGGAACTGGCAAACTGTTTAACACAGTAGCTATATCACTTTACATTCCTACTAGGAATGTCTGGGGCTTCCCAATGCAACAATACTAAGTGGTGTGGCCTCTAGGAGTTAAGTCATGAGGTCTCTGCCCAAGTGAATGAGATTAGCACCCTTATGAAATGGCTCAAGTTGGAAGGGAGTGCTCTCATGCTCTTTTACCTTGGACACAATGGACACAATGTTGGTTCTCTCCAGAGGATACAG